AGTAGCAATAGCAGTAGCAGTAGGCAGTAGCAGCAGCAGCAGTAGCAGTAGCAACAAGCAAGTAGTACTAGCAGCAACAGGAGTACCAGCAGCAGCGATTGGCGGTAGCAACAGCATCAGTAGCAGACTCAAATGACGCAGATGAAAGACTCAAACAAGGGAACCAAGGTCATGGACGAGGACACTAAGATTACTGACGAGGAAACAACGAGCAAAGACGAGACGACCGAGGTCACAAACAAGGCCATGCGGGGGAGGACCCAGGGGACAGCAGCAGCCGCAGCAGCAGCTGCAGTAGCAGCAGCACACCACCAACGACCCACCACCTACCAGCAGTAGCAGCAGCAGTAGCAGCAGTAGCAGTAGGCAGTAGCAGTAGCAGTATACAGTAGGCAGCAGTAGCAGTGCAGAAGCAGTAGCAGTAGCAGTAGCAGCAGTAGCAGTAGCAGTAGCAGCAGCAGCAGCAGTAGTAGTCAGCAGCAGATAGCATAGCAGGCAGCATCATGCAGCAGTAGCAGTAGCAGCAGTAGGCAGCAGCAGCAGTAGTAGCAGCAGCAGCAAGTAGCATAGGCAGAGTAACAGTAGCAGCCAGAGAGCAGCAGCAAGCAGCAGCAGTAGCAAAGCAGCAGCAAGCCAGAGTAGTAACAGCAGTAGCAGGCAGCAGCAGCAGCAGCAGCAGCAGCAGCAGCAGCAGCAGCAGTAGCAGTAGTAGTAGCAGCATAAGCAGCAGCAGCAGTAGTAGGCAGTAGTAGCACAGCAGTCGCAGCAGAGCAGGCAGCAAGCAGCACCACCACCAATCACCACCAGCACAGCAGCAGCAAGCTACACCAGCACCACCACTACGCGAACCAGCAGCAATAGCACCACCACCAGTAGCAATAGCAGTAGGAGTAATAGTAGTAGCAGCAGCAATACTCACTGGTCAACGTTGTCCAGGGCTAGGTTATCAACTCGGCCGGGTGAGGCAGGTAGTCTACGACGGCGTCCATCATGGCTGGATGCCCTTGTTTTTGAGCGCTGTGCCGACGAGCACGGGAGTGAACACGCGCCGCATGCACGTACGCCTGATCGCCGCCTGAAACAACGAGACGGGTCGTCACAGACAGGTGCACACGTCCTCAGGTACGTAATGTCTAAGGTACGTAATGTCTCAGGTTCCTAATGTCTCAGGTACGTAATGTCTCAGGTACGTAATGTTTCAGGCTCCTAATGCCTCAGGTACATGTCTCAGGTTCCTAATGTCTCAGGTACGTAATGTCTCAGGTACGTAATGTCTCAGCTACATAATATCTCAGGTACGTAATGTCTCAGGTACATAACATCCCAGGTGTGTAATATCTCAGTTAGGTAACATCATCCTACATGTCCTCAGCTACGTAATGTCCAGGTACATTCTCAGCTATATAATGTGCATACATGTGTGTGGTGAAGCTTTTAATAAGGTCTCGAAAATTGATATGAAAACCTATCAATAATGCTAGGATAAACTGCACACCTTCAGTTGTTCAACTGTCGAATCTTCTCTTCGAGAACATTTCACCAAGAAAGTCATCAGCATTTGCCACGTTCTCTGTAAAATGAGTGAACCGATTATGGAAATTGTAAAGTGTCAGAATCTGCTCTATTGGATCATAAATTGTGCAATCACTGGATTCTTATTTTATATGTTATACCAGTATAAAATACGAACCAAAACAATCAAAACAGTTGGTACCTAAAGCCAGTACAACGACAGTCCACAATTTTATCGACAGCACTGTTGATAAAAATTGCCACGGTGCGCCACCCGGCAACAATGCACCATCTGTCAGCGACATACCACTGTACTGAACTGTACGTACCTGTTCAAACCACACCACGGGCGCTGCGGGAAATGCTAATCCCAGGAGTGGAGGGGCAGTACGCAACCATGGCAGCACTAGCTGTGTAAGGATTAGGTTAGGATCAGGATTAGGGTTAGGGTTAGGGTTAGGGATATAGGCTATGTCTAGCACGGAAGTATGACTGTGGAATCTTTCTGTGGAAAATTTGGACTTTGAAGTCGCGACTGAATTGTCCCTCCACGCCCGTGTAATAGCACACACCCGGGCTGCTATAATTTTGATCACGTGCTTCAAATCATGCATTTAATTAGTTAATCCAAAACTGTTGCCTGAATCCGTCGTTGTTAGCGCACACGTAGCGATTGTCACGACTGGGCAAACAAAATATCAAACGTGTTTGATATTCCAGCGACGAGTTTCGCGTCAAAATCGGTGCCGCCGTGCAGCGCGCACACGTGGCGATTTCTCGCGATTTTGTTGCTGGCAGCAAAATCGCGCGTACTGTCGATAAATATCGCCACGTTGTGCGCCGGGCTAACAGCCAGCCTAAATACAGTTTATTATCAATTTAAAAAGTTTAATAATACAGACGGTTTTAAACAAGGCAACTAACGGTACCTATTAATTCTTGTTTCCTGTCTTAGCCTCAGCTCTCATCTCTGGTGAATTTCATGCTCTCTTATGACGATTCTAGAAATTGTAGCCCATAACAGGAAACACAGGCGTAACTCGTCACATGGGCATAAATGGAGTCAGCCAACGTTTTTAGTTATCAATATATGCAACACTGCAATAGTATACCAGGGTGCGAAATTAACGGGAGTCCGAAGTCAAATACTCCCTGGCCTCGCGGAATTACTGTATTTTTTCAGCTAATGTCAAAAGAAAATTAGGGCAAACGTGCAACTGTATGCATCTTAAAATAAGCACATGCGTTATTGTTAATATCTTTTAATTTTGAACCTCAGACTGCAGACCCCTCTTTTGAGGTAGGGAGCTCGTTGGACTCCCTTGTTCAAAGTTAATTAATTTCTACCCTGGTATACACATTATATATATATATTGAGAACTGACATTATAATCTAGCAAACAGGGTCAAGTTACTTTCAAACTTTACAGTAATAAACTGCATAATTGCATTCTTATTATAGTACAACCCTATTCGCAATAAATTTAACCAATACAATGGTTCTTTTACTGAATGCGCATGTCGTAGCCTAATACAGACATCTGAGCATGTCGAGGTCAAAGTCGACTTGCAGTGAAGTGATACATGAATGAACTACCCACCCTGACATTTGACGACATATTGTTTCTAATATCCAGTGAAATGGTTGTGTGACATTTTATGAATAGCAATCGCAGTCATAGAATGTATTTCATGCAGCATACATTGACAAAAACATTTCGTAATGGACATTAGCAGTCGACATTAGACATTAGATAATGGCGTATTGTTCAGTTGTCTTCGATTTATAATAGTGTCTTCGAACGTAATTTTAAGAAGTCAGAGAAACTTGGTTTATATGATCTGGTCACTTGCCTGCTACAAGCTAAAGGAATCAGTTGGTTATCCTTAGCAGCAGGACCTAGAAATCAATGATAAGCTCACATAACATGCAACAGTCTAGAGTTTACAAACTTAAATGTCACCATTATTTCGACGAGAAAGGAGGCAGTCAATAATGCCTGAGTGTGGCCGAGCCAGTCGTTGCAATTTTGATCCTGAATGTTATGCGTGGTAGTTTATCGCTGTAATGATTTTCGACCTTAACGAAAACACACACAAACCTATAATTAGAGTGTATTCTTACCCATTTGGTTCTTCAAAGTAAAGAGCTTTTTCATGAACAAGGTCGACGATTCCTTACAGTTACTCTCCACACCGATGGGTAACTGAAGAAATGCGGCATTGTGTAGGAGTTTTGACCTGCTAAACCCGAATGAGCAGACCTGTAACCATCTAAAATTTACAATTTGCATCCTGTTTTTAACTTGACATGTCTCTCTGTACTGATATGCTTAACTTTTTTCATCAGGAGTGAACAGAAAACATTTGTATTTATACACTCCTAATTATGTGCTCATCGATTTATCAATTTCATTAACTTCCTAATTTCATTCAAATTTTAATTTAAATATATTTAACAACATCAACTTGAAATCCAATTTAGTACATGTGAATTTCATTCAAATACCCAGATAAAGTACACTATGGATAATGTTAATATGGCCAACCTGAGTTGCTGCATGACACGATTAGGGTTTGCACCAAGTCGATCCAGTTTGTTGATAAGGCGAGGCATGGTACGTTGTATCGGTTCATCTGCCTGTTGACAGTGTAAGACTGGCTCTGTACACCACCACAGCACACAACACCAATACTGCACATCCAGGACACGCAGTGCCCTCTCTACCTCCACGTGAAATCCACATGACCTGTAACAAAACACAGAACGAATGTCACAACTAAACACAGACTCATCGTAACAATAAGCGGTTGGTTTCCTAATAAAAATCATACTGCTGTAATACTAAATAATCCTTCATTATATATATCAACCGACTTCAATGTGACAGCCAAAATTTTCTAAGCAAAATGAATGAATGAAATGTAGACTATAAATACAATGCACGGGAAATCCCCATACTATTACCTAGCATTCAAGAAACCAACAACTCCCGTTTGAATTAATATATAATTACCAACAAAAACAACATACGTGCAGATGTTTTTAATTACCTAATTATGAAAGTTTTTAGTACCTATTAATAATTAATGTATATTCTATTCAAGTCAAAAGCAGTGAAGATACAACTGCAAACGTTCATAAAGACCGTTTATTTACCCTAGTACAAAATATGCAGGGTTAATTTTTCTTCGGAGGGAACATTAGACAAAGGAGGTAATGGCCAGTTATGGAAAAAAAAGCGCATGATGGATTCAAAGGCGTGCCGTAGGCACGCATGCGGACGCTGCAGGTGGACGCGGGGGGAGAGGGAGAGGGGGACACTATTTTGGTTACACTATAAGGGGTTGACACTATTTCGACAACGGCAGGTAAATACAGGAACATTTTCACAAGGGTGATGTTAAATTTGACAACGGCTGTGCGCCACTGTGCCTCTTATGTATAAGAAATTCTGGATATGGTTGTTTTCTGTTGGCAGCAGTACCTGGAGTATCAATAATGTTGATGTTGAATCCCCTCCACTCTGTGTATGTAGCTGCTGACTGGATTGTTATCCCTCGCTGACGCTCTAACTCCATGGAATCCATTTTCGCTCCGACGTTGTCTTTACCTCTGACCTAACTCAGAAGAAAATCCTAATTTATAGACATTTAGTAACACAATCGATTTATAGGAAATTCCTGTTAGCTGTACCTGTTTTACTGCATCTAATGCACACTTATAAGTTTTATAATATATATATACACTCACTGTAAAATGAATGTAATATATATAGTGTATACTAGCAGGACACCCGGCATTGCCTGGGAAATGAAGTGCTCAGTTGGTGACCACTTGGTTGAAAGAAAAATACCCTAAAAATGTATCTATATGTATCTATCTATCTGTATGTATCTATCTGTCTATGTATCTATCTATCTATCAATCTATCTGTCTGTCGATCGATCGATCTATCAATCTATCTGTCTGTCGATCAATCGATCTATCTATCTATCTCATCAATCTATCTATCTATCTATCTATCTAATCTATCTATCTCTCTCTCTATATATATATATCCATCTATCTATCTATCTGTCTATCTATCTATCTATTTATCTTACTATCTTTCTATCTATCTATGTATGTATGCATCTATCTATTTATCTTTCTATCTATCTATCTATGTATCTATCTATTTATTTATATATCTGTCAGTCTGTCCATCTGTCCATCCATCCATCCATCCATCCATCCATCCATCTATATATATATATATATTTATTTATTTATCTACTGTATCTTTAGTTACAGTAAAGCAAGTCAGTGCCAGCTGAATCCTGTTTTGACTGTTTTGACTTGAATCCTGTTGCGGCAGGGCCGTTTATTTGTTGCTGCGGAGGCACGCTGCGGGGCACGCTGCAGCAGGGGCCAGTATTTCCTGCTGCTGCTGCTTTGCTGCTGCAGGGGCGCGCTGCAGCAGGGGCCAGTATTTCCTGCTGCTGCTGCTTTGCTGCTGCAGGGGCGCGCTGCAGCAGGGGCCAGTATTTCCTGCTGCTGCTGCTGCAGGGGCCCGTTGTTTATGTAGTGGTGTTGCGTGGGCCGGTTCGCGAATTTGGGATTCCCAAACCGTATAGCTATGGAAGAAAAATTGAGCAACATGATTGGCTAGAAATTTTTTAGGACACGCCCACTATCGCACGCACACCATCACGCAAATACGAACGAATTTTGCACAAGGGCTTATTTTTTTTATAATATTTCTTATTATTTTTGTCTAATTTTGTTTTATTTTAGAATTAGGGATAGGGTTAGGGTTAGGGTTAGGGTTAGGGTTAACTGATTTCTATATCTAAAACTTTAAAGGGACAGTAGCCTCTAGGATTTTACTGCGTACAACTGTACTTACTGTATAACAAATCGTCTATACCCACACGTATTTGTTACCAGATACCCAATTTAATTGTTATAATTATTTACACATCAACGCTACGAAATTTGAACGGCGCCATGCTGACAACCGCGACCCCGTGTGCGACCCCCCCTCTGTCAGGGATGAGGGATGCTGCTATCCGCCGAAAAAGTTGGCCTATTTGCAACAATTTATTTCTGCAGGTTACAGGACTGAAGAGCGATATCACAAAAGTACAAATATTTATAACCTAAATCTATTTACCCCGAACGCTATTCATTTTAGGGCAAATTTATCCATATTATGAACTGAAACTATCAATTGTCGTTTATAGACTACACATCCTCTTGCTTTCAAGATGAATAAATCAGACTGAAACGACTGCGTCTGCTCTGTAAGCCCGGTTGGTTATGGTAGTGGTTTTTGCGAGGGCAGAATGCCTTAATCAGATGGTAGCCGCTTTCTGAGATGGCCGCCACCGTGGTTGTAATCAAACTCGTAGTCCGTAGTCAATTAAAACATTGTTTTAATCACATATATTCTCTAAGCTGTGGGGGTACTTAGAATCCATGAACTT